AGGTCCTGAACCATTTAGAGCTTTATAGGTAATGACGTGCACCTTGAATTGGGACCGGAAACTTATCAGCAGCTAGTGGATCTGCTTGAACAGGGGATTAATCGCTCCCTGTAATTTGTTCCAGTTAACAACCTGACCGCTGACCTTTGCACCAAGTACAGTTTCCGAGCCATCTTCAGGGGCAGAGTGTGTTACTGTAAACCAGTCTTGAGGTAACTAAGGTATGAGCCACCATGGTCAAGTCAGACTTCTCCAAGGTATATACTCCTGAAGAATGTGCTGGTTCTTCATGCCTTTACTACTATTCAGAACTGAAATTTATATTGAAACTGAATGGCTGGTAACAAGCTGTGCAATATAGTGTGATGTTAATACCCTGGTTTGCATCTTACAATGACCATTAGTCATGAAATGTGACTGGCCTCCACACTCTTTATATATACACCGTTTCAGGGGCAGTGGAGAATGAATGTGTCTTTTCTTTCACTTCTTTACTGCAGTATATTATAAACATTGCATTGCATGGGCTCACACAGTGACAAATGTAATATCTACAATTTCAAAGAATTTATTCGCTCCCGCATAGCTTTATTTCGAATTTTATGGGCATTAATTCATACTCCGAAAACTTACTGGCATGAAAAACAAGAACAAACAGCTTTCCATGTTAGCTCCAGCACTATTTTTCATCTATTACTCATGTGTTCTGCATAGAACAACAGCTTTACTGTGTATGCTACATTTCAAGAAGGCCCACAGAGTCAAATAAAAATATACAACATGGAGTGCGGGGAAATGCCATATTCAGAGAGGGAAGAGGCCACTAACTTTGTGCTGCACAGGCAGAAATATGCAGCTGTCTTCACATTACTAATGTATGCTTGAATGTAGCCATTATGGGCTTATCCTGACAGGAAAAAAAGTCCCTGGAAGTATTAAGACTTCCCCATTTTGATTTGTTTTGATTTTCCCCCTGCATATTCATGACTTTGCATCCAAGCTCTTTCTTGAAATATCCAGGTTTTCTCTCATTCCTGGCTCCCGTTTTCTTTTGTCCTTTCCCTCCCACTGATCACATCTCACATCTGTATTCAAGTAATGTTTCACCATTTTCCACTGAGACCTTTCTAATTTATTATTATTCAGGAGCTATAGTCAAAATGTGAAAGTAGCAATACTACATTATTGAAACTTTAGGATCATTTTCTTTTATTGCTAGCAGCCCTCTTTCCCTTGTTTGATCTTTGTTGAATCTGCTGTCCTGCTTGGGCAACCCTTATCCAGAATCGCAAACTACTCCAAACTACAAAATTATCCACATCGATGGCTGAGTCGATGACACATTTGCCTTCTAATGATACAGTGTGTACAAACTTTATTTCATGCACAACCTTGTTTAAAATACAGCATAAAATTACCTTTCAGGCTGTGTATATAAACATAAATTAATTTCATGTTTAGACTTGGGTCCCATCTCCAAGATTATGTAAATACATACAAATAGAGGTTTTCCAAAATCTGACAAAATCCAAGTATTTTGGATAAGGGATGCTACACCTATTTCGTTTTTTCTGGGGGGGGAGGCAATTTTAGTTAGTTATGGGGAAACAGAAACACATGGTAATTTTGGGGGATACTAGTTTAATTTAAACTAAGCTCAAAATTAGAAATTAAAGAAAATACTTCAGAGGAAAATACTTCCAGGGAACACTTCAGAATTGGAAACGTCATATAGACATCCAAGAAATTGGAAAGGGCAGTGACAAAACCAGTGACTTTCTGGTTCTTTGAGTCCATCAATATAATACCACAGGTCAGTTGTGTATTATATAAACACGGATTTCCAACTGAAGGATGCACATTGTAGACTAGCAGCACAGAACTCAATGCAATCTCTTTACCAGCACTCAGAGAATGACAGATGCCACAGTCACTACATTTCTTATTTAGCCATGGGGGTGAAATGGGTTAAGCCCTTGTGTTGGCTGAACTGCTGACCTGAAGGTCGGCAGTTCAAATCCGCAAGACGGAGTGAGCTCCCATCTGCCAGCTCCAGCTTCTCATGCAGGGACATGAGAGAAGCTTCCCACAGGATAGTAACACATCCAGGGGTCCCCTGGGCAATATCCCTGCAGACAGCCAATTCTCTCACATCAGAAGCGACTTGCAGTATCTCAAGTCTCTTCTGACACACACAAAAAATTAGGAGGTACCAAATGGCCCCTGTCACTATGGAGGAAACATCCCAAAACTCTCTGTGGATACCCGAAAAAAACTGGTTTTCCTATAAACATACCACAGGTGCCTTCAAATTGTCTGTCAGTCTATGACAACACTAGGGGATTTCATAGGTAAGGAATTCTAGAAGCTGGTTTTGACCATTCCTTCCACTGAAATACAGTACATGGTATTCATTGGTAGTCCCCCACCCAAATATTAGTCATGGCTGACCCTGCTTAGCTTCTAAGATCAAATATGACCTGGTGCTTTCCAGGTATTAAGGCCCACATCAGCACAGTGTTACAATGAAACCTGCATTAGTGATAATTTTCAAGTCATTCAGCATCATATACTGTACTGCCCTCTAGTGTGGCTTCCATGGATGCACTTAAAATGCCAAGATATTGCCGAATGTATTTATTTATTTATTTACTGCATTTCTATGCCGCCTTTCTCAGCCCGAAGGCGACTCAAGGAGGCTTATACTGGCACGATTCGATGCCACAATGAACATAAACAAAATTAAAACCAAACTAAAAACAATTAACACACATTACAAAAACTCTGTAAATGCATTAAAAGCATAAAACACCAGTCACTTCCTATTAGATCATTTTCCAAAGACATTGTCAAGCCATTCCATGTTCATTCTTTCATGGGTTCCATATTCATCCATTACACTGCGTTTCAAAGGCTTGTTCAAAAAGCCAAGTTTTTATTTTTTTGGGCGGGGGAGGGGGGAATGTCAGTAGGGAGAGGATCAATCTAATATCCCTATGAAGGGAGTTCCATAGCTGAGGAGCCACCACTGAAAAGACCCTGTCTTTCGTCCCCACCAGGCGTGCCTGTGACAAAGGCGCGATCGAGAGCAGGGCCTCCTCAGGAGATTTTAAATTCCTAGCTGGTTCATAGGGAAAGATATGTTTAGATTGTGCCAGAACTGTTTAGGGCTTTATAGGCTAAAACCAGCACTTTGAATTGTGCCCGGTAGCAAACTGGCAGCCAGTGGAGCTGGCGCAACAGAGGAGTTGTATGCTCATTGAGCGTTGCTCCCATTAGCAACCTGGCTGCTGCCCACTGGACCATTTGAAGCTTCTTAACAGTCTTCAAAGGCAACCCCATATAGAGCATGTTACAGTAGTCTATATGGGATATAAACAGAGCATGGACTACCATGGCCAAGTCAGACTTCCCAAGGTACAGGTGCAGCTGGCGCACAAATTTTAACTGTGCAAATGCTCCCCTGGTCACTGCCGAGACCTGGGGTTCCAAGCTCAACAATGAATCCAGGATCACACCAAAGCTGTGAACCTGTGTCTTCAGGGGGAGTGTAACCCCATCCAACACAGGTTGTAACCCTATGCCCTGTTCAGCCTTGCGACTGACCAGGAGTACCTATGTCTTCTCTGGATTCAATTTCAATTTGTTCGCCCTCATCTAGACTGTCACAGCAGCCCAGCACCAGTTCAGGACCTGAACAGTCTCCTTAGTAGCAGGTGGAAAGGAGTGTCAGAGCTGGACGTGGAAAGGAGTGACAGAGCGTACAGGTAACACCACATCCCGAAACTCCGGACGATCTCCCCCAGCAGCTTCATGTAGATGTTAAACAATATGGGCAACAGTATTGATCCCTGCGGGACACCACAAAATAATGGTTGTGGGGTCGAGCAGGTGTCCCCCAACAACACGTCTGGGAACGACCCTCTAGGAGGGACCGGAGCCACTGTAGGACAGTACCTCCAAGGCCCATTCCCGCGAGGTGTTCCAGAAGGATACCGTGGTCGACAATATCAAAGGCCACTGAGAGGTCCAGTGGAATCGACAGG